TTTTGATTCGCAAACGAGGATAGATGTAGATGTCTATGGGCCACAGCAACCACTTACCATCAGGTGGACTGTGTGCTCGTTTGTCACCCTCATCCTATAAAAAAAATTGAATTCTATAAAAACTCAAAGTAATTATTTAAACTTGATAAGGCGCATTGATTTATAGGTATCTTACGCAGTACGCAGTAATATATAAGTCAAAAACTGGGCAAAAATAACCTACAAAATAGTAGATTTTATATAATTATCAGCATAAAAGTTTTATTGATTCATTACAGCCCTTCACAAGTCCACTGCTGAACATAGGCCTCCGCCAAGGAATGCCACAAAGCACGGTCCTAAGCCATCTGCATCCATCAACTTCCTGCACGTCTTACCAGGTTGGTGTGTCAAAATATGTAAATAAATTAAAAAAAAACTTCACTTAAAATAAATAAGTGCATGTCTTTGCTTTATGAATTAAAAACTTAAGTAGATAACTATTTACACTCATATAAGGTTCTTATAGAGTTATTTATATTTGACCTTCCTTTTTTACCAGCACGATTTCGTCCCGACGAGTTATATGAAATTATTTCTATTGTCAGTAATGAGCTATTGTTATTATTTTATTGCTATCGAATCATAGACATTCCATTCGCGAAGTCTATTTGGGAAGCTAATTCATAAGGCGCTTCTAGGAGACGTGTGAACTAAGAACGAGACTAGACTTAAAAAGGATAAATGTCAGGTGTAATCTCAGCTATTACGTTTGTCTGTCTGTCCGTAATAATTTGTAACACTGATTCGGGAACACGACAAGTTTACGGCTATGCTAATAGTATTTAAATTATGCTAATAGTGATTAATGGCATAGTTATCGATTGTTAGGTAGGTACTATTTTAAATTATGTATCTACTTAAAACTGAGTACATAATATAAGTGTAGAAAATAATATGATATTAAAAAGTAAACATTTTATTTTTTAAACATCACATAATTTTTAATTAAGTACATTTTATTGCTTGTTGCAATGTTTTGTAATAATATAGTAGGCTTCTTGAAAATTATCAACAAAGGTTAAAAAGTGAAACAGAAACTTTTATATTCAATATAGATTATAAATAATACTTATTGAAAGTCACTCTTTTGTTTAATTACCACTGCACTGGTTCGAAAAAAACCTCTGTCCTGGGAAGAATCAGCAAGAAACCTAGCGGGACTTTTTTTTTAAATAACAGCTTACAAACATGTTTGTTACACAATTACCTAACAACACAAAAAATTAGAAATAGCTTGGTAGCGATCATCTCATTTCCAGGGGTTATTATCATCCGTAAATTCCTTAATATTATAAGAACCCCTTTTATACAAACATAGTTTAATAAAGTTTTTGAACTTTGAGCAGGTCAAATTTTGTATATTTTATGAAATAAATTGAAGTATAGATATACTTTATGATTACTAGATAAACATACATAAAGTTCTAAAACAAATGTGTCAAAAGCTAATTTTTTCGCTTTAGGCAATTAGGAGGTACATAGTAACCTTTTAATAAAAATCCAACGATAAATATTACATTTACAATATATGAGCAGTCGAGGAAATAGCTACAATCAATTTAAGGTCTGCCCGGGGGGTGTCCTTAAGTGATGGCGGGGGAGAGGGGCAAATTGCTCTCTAATGACAAGAATCTCGAGTGGTCTCATGGTGCTGCCTTGACATTTACTAATCTGATGGAAAATACTTCAAAATAAAATAATTAACAAAAAAAACAAACAGTGAAATTAAATAGTGTCCAAAATCTTTAGCAGGTTTAATTTTATACACTTTGGTCATTTTTATCAAAGTCAAAATACTTACATATATGAAAGGTGCATTTATAATTCAAAACAAAAAATAATAAGAAGTCTTCGAAGTAAAAAGAAATAACTGATACTATGTAGGTACCCATCTTGTGTTTTAACACTAAAAGTGTCAATAAAATTTAACTAAAATCTCTAGATATTTAAAAGTAAAAAGTTGTGAATTTAATATGCATCTTTAGAGAATTTAATAATCTTTCTTAAGATGGGAAGCCATTATAGTATCGTGGAGGCTGTTCACATATATAAAATGCACTAGGACTAACGTCCAGGTTCGGAACAATTCTGTGCAGGCCATTCAAATACTCGTTCCGTGCTGATTTCGAACCCGCGGCCCTCAACGCCGCAACTCATTGCTAACCCAACAGGCTATGGAGCCGTCATACATAGCTGTTAGACATTAAACTTTGCTATTATTATTATTATTATTTTTAATTTGTAACATCTGTCATGAAAATTTACGATGTTAATATTTATTTTTGAAACGAAAATAATTTACCTGAGGGGTACCTATATGGTCACCTTAAGCTCTGCAGCCATATAAAATCAAAACTAGGAGGAGGACAGAGACAAATACACAACGTCGTATACTATATAACGAAAAAAAATAGCAAACAAGATTTGGCAATAATTAGTAACACTTCGAAAAATCAACTTAAATAAAACTTACAACACTACACAATACTAAAATCGACTAAAATATTTACAATAATGTCAACTGTTAAAATGGCGTCGATAAAGCAGCGTACCTTCACGTACTTTACCACTTACAAGTAATTACTTTAAATAAGAATAATACAGAATAATAACGAGTTGAATGTAAATGCAAGAAAAACAACTTCCTTCTGCGTGAATCCCATATCTCTGGTGCCCTTTAACCTACAGGACCCAAATTACACATACCAAATTTAAAGTCAATCGGTCCAGTGGAACGGAAGTTATCGTGTCGGCATATAGACTAACAGACTGCCAGCTAAAACCATTAACTTCCTTTCAATGCTACGCAGAAGGAAGTTAATAAAGAAGGCCACAGATGAGTTGTTATTCAGGATTCGTCCAAGACGGAATGCCTCACTTGTACCTAATACAGGCCCTTCAAACAGAAGATTATAGATCTTTTTTTGAGAAATTAGTTCACACGTAATAATTTTTTTTTAAATCAGTGATTACCTATATTCATAAGAATTTTCTTAATTTCATGAACATTGGGTCGTTGTGACTTAGGATATTAGCAATGGCCTTTTCCCGCGGCTTCTTATAATTCACGAGTAGAGTTCAATTGTTGTCGATATCACTGAAGTTGTTACGCAATCGAACATTTTATTAAGTTCTTGGCCTTGAGGTATAGATATATAACTCCGTAAGAAAACGGCCGTATTTTTATTATAGAATATGGAATACAGATTATGGGAAATTAAAAAATGTGAATTAGGTGGCAATAGGTACTGCTTTTCTGCCTAAGAGACCATCTGGGTAGGAACCACAGCTGTGTTCTACTCTGAATGGTACAGAGAGCCAGTGTGTTTACAGAATAAGATGCACTCCATCTTAGTACCTACTCAGTGATGACTACGCATTTATAGTCTTCTATTTTAAAGTATCTATATCTGTACGTGGCTGTCATGCTGCAGCTATATATCTGGCAGAGTCGTAGCACGAATGACGGTTCTACCGGGGAAGAATCACGCTCTCACAAAATACCAGCTTAACGCTGCTGTGTTTCGTATGGTGAGTGTAGACAACCGGAGACCCATTTTACTGGAAAAGAGGCACTCCATCTTAGTCCTCACGGATGACAACGCATCTGCATTTTAATTTGTAATAGAGATCAGTAAAACCGGTCAGTAAAACCTCATTTCGAAACGGTATTAGATTTAAAAAAATGACATTTGACAATCGAAATTTTAATTTGTTACATCGAAGAAATAAATATATTTCATTAATTTCAAATAATTAATTTCGGATCAACTTTACATGCCCGCCAATTTTTTTTATTTCTTAGATATTTCTGATCCTTTCCTTTGCCGACGAGTACGTGATGAAATATTTCAAGTACCTACAAGTTTATTAATTTCGAAACTTAAGGCAAAGGAATATTTTGTGCTCTAAACACTTTAAAAATATACGAGACCTGTGCTTAGCAGGATCTATTTAGACTGTTACCTGTCTTTTAATCCTTTCTAGCGTAGGTAGGTATAAGTACCTAAATAGTTTTGAAAGAAAACTTTTTTTGTTATTAAATTTTTTTTATGTTATGAAAACCGTTTAAGGTAAAACCTACCGCATCGTATAAATTCTTACTGATAATTTTAAAGAAGGAAGACTATCTACATGTACGTAGTGCTCTTTTGCGGGCTGATGGAAAATAAAAAAGGTATTATTATAGGAGTAGATATATATGTCAGTTTTTTTATTAACAGTTCACAGATCAAGTTCCCTCTAAACGCAGCATAAAGCAATGAATTTGTAACGCTGACACTGGCAAAACATTCTGATCACCACCAATTACCCAGATACTCTGGTGTCTACAAAGATCAATATTGTTTTCTCGCTCTCACTCCAGTTTATAGCCAACTCCTGTCTTTATTGCGCGCTGCATTTAAGAAACCTTAATAAGTTTGCTTTTGATGCCAAAATGAATTAAAACTCTTGTTTCTTAAACAACAAAGTACTCTTAGTCTTGGACCCAAAGCACAACTTAGACTGTATGAGTAAACAGTAAAACCAAATTAATTTGTAAACCAAAAATGCATCTTATGTGTTTAATACAAGCTCTACATTGTAACACATAAGTACAAGCATATAAGCCCTTTAAAAAGGAGTGATACCGATAATAACAGTGGTATTACGACTATCGTAATAAAGCTTATGTTCGCCCAACCAAACTGGCACATTAATAAAATGAAATTACACAGTGACAACACCCCGTACGTGGGCGTGGCGGGCTCCAATGCCGAAGAATGTCGGAGTACATCACTACGATGCCGCAACGAACGCACGCGCCGCGCGTTCGAAAATCGAACGCAGTTTCTCAACAATAAAAAAAAATCGTGAGTGACAATGTGTATGAGTGATATATTAAAATACAATAAATATTAGACAATAATTTTCAAACCAAAGCAATTTAAAAAGCAATATTTTTAAAAGTGAGTGAAATGGAATCCGAAATTGACAAAACGCAAACTAGGAAAAAAGCGCCAAAACCATTCTCGATAGAATCAATAATAGGTAGCACGGACAGAAAATCGCCTGAGATTGATATAGAGAATAATTTGTCGGAAAATTCTAGAAACTCGGAGGACGATGAGCCAGAACGATCGGAAGATTTGAACCGCATGCGCTATTATCTAAACACGCCATTTTTTAACCAAACTGGAGTAAGCTTTCCGTTTCTACTTGGATATCCGGAGCCGTGGCTGTCTCGAATGCTTGGCTCAAGTGTGCCTGGACAAAATACAGCAACTGAGAACAGGGACGAAGAGAAAAGGGAAAGCCCGTTGAGTGTAGGCAGCGAGATTGAAAGTGATGGAGCAGAAGACAATCCTCAGGGTGAGAATAATATTTATTACCACGTTTTAAAAATCATATAGGTAATATTTTCCTGGTCAATTTCGTCCATGACTATAATAAAATATTGTCAAAATTGGTCAATCGAACAGGGACTATGTTGCCAACTTAGTGGATTTTCCACTAAAACTGGAGATTTAGTGGATAAATATTGATTTTAGTGACTGGTTGTTTTTCTAGAATAAAATAGAATTAAGTTTCAATTAGTGGAAAGATGATAACTCAACCGTTAAGCCACTTACACGTTTCGATGTGTATATTTACGTCATATCAGGAGAATTTACTTTAACTTTGTAGGTATTCCAAAATGATTACCAGACATAACGTTAGACGATATACCCGGTCGAATCAAAATTTGAGGTTATTTAGCATTTTTTAAGATTAGCAACTTTTAGATAAGATTACTTTGTAATAAAAAAAAACAAGCAGAGGAATAGAATGAAGTTAAATCCTTAAACTGCCATACTAATAGTAGATACGCTACGGTATGTAAGAAGATACTAAAAACTCCGTTAAGCGATTTTAAGAATAAAAAATTAGGAACTATGAAAGAAGGGTCGCTTTTTGTTATAGGTTATCAGGTGGTACCTATTAGAAGTTTAATTTGGTAGAGAGCTAGTTGGCAACACTGCCTATGTATATGGTGCCTTAAGGGAATTCATCACATGTGACTTGTCTAATGAGAAAAGTCCGAAAGACGTTATGGCCCTCTATTCACAACGGTATACCATCTCGTATATTCCAGATGTAAAATAGTCCTATCGTCATTAGCCTGCCAAGCATGGCGAACATGACCAAACCTTCCTATAATGGAATAGGCCCACATCCAGTAGTGAAAAGGAAGACTAATAAATAAGCATTATTTAGTATTATAGTGTTAAAAGTATATTTTCAAGCACATATGATATCCCGCCTTAACCTACTCTTGTCCAATGTAATGATTAATATACTTACTTGTAATCTAAGATTCTAATACATTGTTTTATTGGTGATAAATGTGTCAAGAAAAATCTTTATGCAATAAAAACAATGTACAGACTTATTCTCATAGTTAAGGACGAGTGAAAGTATTTTTAACACTTGATCGTTGGAATATTATTTACATTTTACGTGGGTCCGCTAGACCGGGGAAGGACCACGCTCTCACAGAATACTAGAGTAAAATAGCAGCTCAATGCTGCTGTGTTTCGTACGGTGAGTGTAGAGAACCGGAGACACCTTTTACTGGAAACGAGGCATTCCATCTTAGTCCTCAGGTATGACAACGCATCTACAATATGTAGATTATTGCTACACTCGCGACTTGCAATTGTTGGTTGTCTTACTTAAACTTCATCACCATTTATATAGGATTGACATAAGTTGTAGGTACTTGTTTAACGTGCATTTTTTATTTATTTATAAAAGGTATGAGATGTATGTATGGATGTGTTCCAGATAAATAAAAACAAAATCTAACCTATAATTAGCCATCACATGGGCTGTTAATGTCCATACTATTAACATCCCATCTGATGGCTCATTATAAAAACTAACACCGCCCACATACACTTTTATAATTATAATACAGTGTACATACACTTTTATAATTATAATTTAGTGTACATACATATGTATACTATTTTTTTGTATTGACTAGTGTTCTCAATATTACCATAAATAAAGCATCAAAAATAAAACATAAAAAAATGCCAAAAATACGTCATCTTTCTTTATTTAAACTTTTTATTTCGTTTAACGTTCTTTTAACGTTTATAAAATTATTTTTTCGAACTCTATAAATATGTAGTTTTTTGTAATTTTTTTACTATGTATGTATTTATTAACTATAATATTATTTTAATACCAGCTGACCCGACAAACGTTGTTTTGCCATATATACATTATTTCTAGGAAATATTTTTTAGTTTTAAAAATAGCGATTAAAAAATAGGAGTTGATGGTAGAAGGGGAAGCAAAATTTGAAGTTATATGTATTTTTCGATGCTAAATCATAATAAAATAAAAATAAAAATAAATGTCAAAAAAATAAAAAATTATTTAGGGGTGGGTCAGCTTTAGGTACTTTATCAGTTAGGGGTTTGAAAAATAGCTGTTGACCGATTCTCAGACCTACCCGATATGCACACAAAATTTCATAGAAATCGGTTCAGCCGTTTCGGAGGAGTTTGGTAACAAACGCGACACGAGAATTTTATATATTAGATTTCCTGTAGGTACTATCAGTAGAGCCAGAAGCCTCTATCAGATAGAGTCATGTTATAAGTAGTTTATTTTTTTATTGTTATATAATATCATATTACAATTAATGATAATCAATATTATAATTAGTACCTACTATAACTAGTAACAATCTTTGTCATACCTACTGATGGGCACTGGCCTGCTCCGATTATTGAGAGAGCTTGAAGCAGAGTGGACAATACCGCGGTGTCCCAATTTGTATTGGTAGACTTCAAATCTCCTAAAATATTTAATTACTTTTTAAATGTAGGTTGCTTTGACCGCGATGTTGTTCTTCGCCGCCAAACACGAGATAAATCGTGCTTATGATTGAAATTATTATAATTGAAATTAATTAAAACGTACTTATAATTGAAGTTAGCAATTTTTGTGTTGCTGGCGAAAATTGAACTCAGGTTACTATGATGACTCGATGATGATATGATTCGTAGACAATATATATATATATATATATATATATATATATATATATATATATATATATATATATATATATATATATATATATATATATATATATATAGTAACTTGTACCGTGTAGTGGCGGTGTAGGAATATCCACTACCCCAAATCATCCCGTGGGTGTCGTAAGAGGCGACAGAGGGAAACAAACCAGGAGATGGACAGCAGCGCCTTTCTAATAACTTAAAAAGAACTGCGATTGTAGACTTGCTTTTTGCAATCTATAGGGGAGGCCTATATTCAGGAGAGGAATTTTGTTATGTTGTAACAGTAACGGTGACGGTAACGGTAACAACTGGTAGCGTTAATAAGTCAGTATTAGTAATGTAAGTTTTTTTTTTAGAATAGGGTGACAAACGAGCACACAGTCTACCGGATGGTAAGTGGTAGCTGTGGCCCATAGACATCTACATTTATCTTCAATAAAGACTCAAAATACAGATGCTTTGTCACCCGCGAGGACTAACCATACGAAACATAGCAGTGTTAAGCTGCCATTTTACGCTAGTATTATGTGAGAGCGTGGTCCTTCCCCGGTCGAGCCGACCCATTCGTGCTACAACTATACTACTAATACATCTGAGGCATAGCTCTACCACGTATAGCCAAGCCGCGTTAGTAGTAACGTTCTTAGAATACTTTTAGTTTTTAATTTTTTTGTGGCAGACTACATGCAAAGGCACTTGAAATACAACATTGATATTCTAGGAGCTAAGTGACTTTTCTACTCCTTTATCGTCATCATTATCATAAGAAAGCTCTACATCAGCCTCTAAATAAAGTAGTTAATTCCAGTTGACAAGTTTTTTAATTTTTATCTAAAGAAATCTATTATTCTTTTTTGAAAAAAAAATTCTATTAGTCTGCAACAGTTGACTGCTGTATATAAGACTCTCCTACAGTAGGAGAAAGGATGCATCATACATTACATTATAGCATCTAGTAAATTCAGTGCTAAAGTTACAGCCTATAGACGTCTCACTGCTGGGCACAGGCCTCCTCTCATTTCTGAGAGAGTTTTAGGGCAAGGAAATGTCCGCCGCGCTGCCCCAATGCTTGTTGGCGAACCTTACATGTCTTCGAAATATTTTTTTTTATTTCGCAAAAATGCAAGTTTCCTCACGATGTTTTCCTTCACCGCCGAGCACTTGGTAAATCAGCACTTGAAATTGCAATTAACAATCTCATTGGTGCCGGCGGCAACCTAACCCGGTTGTGTGTGTGAAATTTATAGCGAGCGCTAACCATCTGAGCTACCACGGCTCTATTCTAATTTCAGTGTTACCGACGGGAATTTACCTCAAATATGACTATTAGAAAATGTAGTAACGACTAAGTTGTGGCTGTGATAGCACAGTGGTTGGGCGTTCGAAATAAATTTTATACCACACCTGCATGTCTGAGAAATTAAAAATATCTCTTGTTGTGACGTTCGCCTACATGTTCTAGGACAATGTGGCGCACTCTATCCTGATGCAACATACTCTTTGAAATAATTGGAGGTTGTGGATCGTTTATAGACTATTACTTTATTTTACTTACTTTTATGTAGCGACAAATAATCGGATTATTTTATTTAGGTATCGGATTAATTTACATAATATAAAATATACAATAATCATTATAATTGTATAAAAAAAATTAAAACTAAAAACTAAAATTATTATACAGCAATACAACTCGCGGTATAGTGCCAAGAACGCTGCCAACGTTGCCTCGTTGAATGGCTATATTAACCTTTGAGCGGGAAAAGAATTAGTCCACTTCTTACCAGTGGCAACGACAAGTTGCGGATACAATTCCTCTAAAAATTTTACCGCACGTAGTGGTACACGTCCGATTCAACGTTGTCATGCAGCAAGCAGCCATGCTGTAGCTATATTATTGGTATAGTTGTAGCAAGAATGGGTCGGCTCGACCAGGGAAGTAACACGCTCTCACAGAATACCAGCGTAAAATAACAGCTTAACGCTGCTGAGTTTCGTATGGTGAGTGTAGAGAACCGGATACATTTTCTACTGGAAACGAGACATTCTATCTCAGTCCTCACGGGTGACAACGTATCTGCATTTTTATTCGTAGTCGATGATGTTTGTGACGTTTATCACCCTTATACTATAAAAAAATGATAATAAACGGACCGATAGTCTCTACAGCAAATGGTGTTTAGTCGTCTCCCAGAGACTCATACTTCCGCCATTTACTCAGTTCAGCCGCCTTGGATGCCACCCTAGCTCTAAAATCTATCCCTGAGATGAGAGGTCATTAAAGTCTCT